ACATCTATCTTTCTTCTAAATTCTAGGATATAATAATGAATAAGACATAGTATTTATGTCCTAGGACCTCATGGTACACTGAGGGTGATAGTCATTTAAAATATAACTACAAGGGCACCTGGGTGGCTCAGTCAGATAAGCTTCCAACTCTTGATTTCAGCTCATATCATGACCTCAGGGTTGTGAGTTTGAGCCCCACATTGAGCTCTGTGCCATCAGCTTGGGATTCTCCCGGTCTGTCTCTCTCTCTCTCTCTCTCTGCCCCTCCTGTCCACCGTCTCTCTCAAAGTAAATAGATAAACTTAAAAAATTAAAATATAACTACAATATAATCCTATATTGATTATAAAAGCAATATGTTTGGAATATATAGAGTAGTATAGGGAAGTGAAAAGTTTACTCCATCGGAGAATTGGGAATGGCTTTACATGAGAGAAGTCTGGGCAGGGTTTTGAAGAATGAGGAATGTATACTGGAGTAATGAAGTGGATGGAACAGAATGTGCAAGGGCCCAGAGCTATTAAGTTTTGTAGTGGGTTCCAGTTTGATGGTGGGAGGAAGTAGCCAATAATGAGACTAGAGAGGTGTGTAGAAATAGACCATGGAACAGCCCATTGGCCAAGGAGCTTAGGCTTTCTCCTAAGATGATGGGGAGTCATTGCAAAGTTATAAGCAGGCAGATGGTTTGGTTAGACTGGCATTTTGGATTTATCACTCTGGTTAGTGTGGGGAGTGAATGTCAGAGGATGAGAATGGAGCAGGATTAGGTGACATGTGCAAAGGACCTGGGCCAAGAAAGTGATATTTGGTGATGGAGAGGAGGTAATAGATTTGAGAGATATTTAGGAGGTTAAAAAAGAGATATTTATGATAAATTTTGTGATTAGTTAAGGAGTATAAGAGGAAAACTAAGATATACTGGGGAAGATAATTTAGAAATGGCCTGTAGGAATTTCAGATGGAGATATCCAGGAGGAAGTTGGGAATATAGGTTTGAAGCTTAAAAAAGAAGTATATACTGTTATTATAGATTTGAAAGTAAAAATATTCTAGGTGATATATGAAGTCATGGGCATTCTTTGGGGAAATATTTAGAAGGATTACAGTTTATGGCCAAGAAGAGGAGTCTGGGAAACAGCACCTGAAGGCTGAGACAAGGTGGTCAGTGAGGCAGGAAAACAAAGATAGTAGAGATTCATTGATAGAAACCAAGAAAAGCTGCAACATTTCTAAAAGGAAGCAGTGATTAGAAGGTCAAATGCTATAGAAAAGTCAATTCTCATAAGGGCTTCAAATGCCCTATTTGATTGGAACCCAGGAGATCACTGCTGTTGTCAGGGAGAGCATCCTCTGTGAAGGGTGAGTTAGAAGCCAAACTGCACTACATGAACAAGTTGGAGACATCTTTTGAGATACTGACATGAGAAGAGGATGAAAGAGGACAGAATAACCTGACAGGAACTTCTGCATTTCTCAAAGAATCTTTACATATGCTGCCATATTCATATTTTTATAAAATCAATATGGAAACTTTTGTATCACAACATAAGCCATGTCTGTAGGACAGTTTATCTGTTGTCAGCCTTCCTGGGGGTAGGAATTGACATTTCAGATTTCAGTCTAAGAGGAAATTAGTATTATATATAACACTTGATAGGGAAATTAAAACACCCCTGTATTTCAAGGCATACTTGATATAAGAAATGGAAGCTATAGAAACAGAATTTGCAGTACAATCATTAAAATAACAGACAAAACATATTTGTGTAAGTTTGACACTCTGATATAGGGAAAATAGGTAAAGATCTGCTTTAGAGGCCAGATTCTTAGACATAAAGAGCTAGAAGGAACCTGGCACACTGGGTAATTGTTGAATTGAATTTTAAGAATTAAGCCTTTTGTAATATGAATGAAAAATTGGGTAGTAGAAGGGTAATGTGATTTAATCAAAATTGCTCAATGAATAAGTAACATAAACCAGCATTAGTTATATTTCACAGTTAAATTTGATTCTCATTCATTTAGTGCATCTTATGTGCCAGGGACTATGCTAAACACTTTCTATTCATTTTATCTTTTAATCTTCAAAGGCAGTTATTACCTCAATACTTTTATTATTACATTTTGGAGAAGAGGAAACTTAGTCACAAGAGCTAAAATAATGTCCAAGATCACTTTGTAAATGGTGGAGTTAGCATTTAAACCTAGGCGATCTAACTAAGAGGGAAATGCTTTTAATCATGACCATCTTCTACCAGATATAGGCACACTGTATAATTACTACTTGAAACTGTTAGAGACATTCAACTTTTTGTTTTATAGATAAGGATCATACGTATGGCATTAAAGACTCTGGTTTTGGCTTTAATAAGGAAAGAGTTAAAAACAGAAAAGTTACAATGCAATAATTGAGAAATTGAATTAATAAATTGGTGTTTTCCTTCAACAAATAGATTTTGAAAAGAAAAACATAATTTTGATTTTTTCTTTTTACCACAAATGTAATGTAATAATAACATGTTCAGAAAAGCTTATTGTCCATGATGAAATAACACATTTTTTGCCAAGGTAATTATTATAATAATAGGCTATTTCACATTTTTCCCTCCTCCACCCAAGTCATTTTTTTTTTAATAAGCAGACTTTCATCTGCTTAGCATCTGAGGCAGATGGCAATGTATTTGCGTAACTGGTTGTTTTTTGGGGGGTGGGGTAGCAAGGCAAGTTCAAAACTTATCAAGAACTTTAGTTATAATCTTGAACTATGTAAATCATACATATTATTTTTGATTTGATATAAATTATTTGATTTAGCTTGACACTCCAGTAGTAAAATTCTAAGAATATTGACTGATGTCTTTATATATACTTTAGGGAATTAATGGAAAATCCAGTAAATAGAACTGATTTTATCAGTGGAGAGGTACATAGCAGACCGAGCCCATTCAATCTGAATTGGCTGTTCAGCATTTACTAAATGGTGCTGTTTACTGACTTAACAAGAATTAATGAAGCCTTAGGGTTTGCTTCCCTTCCAGATAAGTGCAGAAGAATGAAATGAGAGTCTGGCATAGGTCCTTTTTCTTGCTGAACCTGGCAGGCTAAGTTCAGGTATGCATGGTGGCCAAAGGTTTTCAGTGGAGGAAGGGGCAGAGGGGTACCAACAGAATCACCTATTGGAATTTTCTAATTTTACTCTCTAGACTCTACAAACATTTCTCTCCAAGTTAAGAGCCACAGTCTCCAGGTAAAAGGGCCAGTGTCTCTGGTTCTCATGCTTAGCTGCATATTAGAATCACCTAAAGTACTTTTAAAAACTACTGGCATTGAGTATATTTTGGACTAGAATCCTTAGAGTTGGGGATTGAGCTGGTATTTAAACAGAGTTAGTATTTCAAAACAAAAAGTAAAAATTTGGCAAATTATTCTAATTTGTTTCCAGAGTTGAACATCACAGGCTCACTTGTATAGGTTGAAAATCCTGATATTCTAACTCATTGCACTCCTCCTGCCCTCAACACACGCACCATTTTCTCATGATTGAGAACATCAGATTTATAGGATGATGAAGAGAATCATGGGTAAGAATGGAATACCCCACTGCTGAAGCAGATCTAGGTCTGAGTTTCTCAACCTTTGCACTATTTAGGTTTGGTAACTATTGTTGGGGAGTGGGGCGGTGATGTACATTGTAGGCTGTTGACTATCATCCCTAGCTTCTACCCACTAGATGCCAATTGCATTTCTTTCCAACCTCCTCCCCCCCGCCCCCTCACAAATTGGGCCTACCATTAAATGTCTCCAGACATTGCCAAGTGTCCCCTAGCAAGCAAAATCACTTCTGGCTGAGAACCACAGATCTAGGCAATAAACTACAGCAGGACCTAGCAATGATTCAGGGATGGATCTAGCTAGATAGAATTAGATATCCTTAAATGCAAACTGGAATGCATAAAGGATTATCTGGGGCTTTACATCTTATCCAAAGAAGTCACAGAACTATTTGGGATTTTTTCTGGTTATCTGTTGCTGCATTAAAAAAAAAATGTAAAGAATAGTGGCTTAGAATAGTGACAACATTAATTTTATTCATAAATCTGCAATTTTGCCAGGGCTAAAGGAGAGAGGTTGTTTTTGCTCTACTGGGGTGGCACAAAAACTGGGGGCTAGAATCATCTGAAAACTCACTCACAACTCTACTGGCTGATGGCTGGCTGTCGACAGGGCCTTCAGCAGGAGCTATGGCTGAAAGACCTACACGTGGCCTTTTCATGTGGCTGCTTGGCTTTCTCACAGCATGGTGGCTGGATTCCAAGGGCAAGTGTCTCGAGAGAACCACGCAGAAGCTGTTTTGCATTTTATGAGTTGGTCTTGGAAGTCACATAACATCACATCCATTGTGGTCAAAAGTCTGCCCAGATTCAAGAAGAGGGAACATAAACCCCATTTTTTGGCAAAGAGATGTCCATGTCACTTTATAGGAAGAGCACATAAGACGGTATGTATTGCCATAGTCATCTTTGGAAAATACAAACTGCCACAAATTTGAAATGGCAAATCATTTAGAATTGGTTATCTGGAGTCTATGACACTGTTATCTAAGGATTTTACTAAGGACCACATATATCAATAAGCTGGTTACTAATTGTTTTAAATGCCAATATCTGGACCTCTCTCTCAAGGATTCTCATTTGGCAGATCAGATTTAGGCATCTGGTGTCTGGTTTTTCGAGAAGTCCTCAAAATAATTCTTATGCGTGTTAAGAATGTTCTTTGGGGGCGCCTGGGTGGCGCAGTCGGTTAAGCGTTCGACTTCAGCCAGGTCACGATCTCGCGGTCCGTGAGTTCGAGCCCCGCGTCAGGCTCTGGGCTGATGCCTCAGAGCCTGGAGCCTGTTTCTGATTCTGTGTCTCCCTCTCTCTCTGCCCCTCCCCCGTTCATGCTCTGTCTCTCTCTGTCCCAAAATAAATAAACGTTTAAAAAAAAAAAAAAAAAGAATGTTCTTTGTTTATACAGATGCTTTAATCATTTACACATTTCCATTACACATTTACACATTTTCTTCTCTGAAACAAAGTGGTGATACTTTGAGGAGAGAGAGAGCTTTGAGGAATGTAAGTCTCCAGAAGAATCACTTCAGACATGCCTTTGGGTTTGTAATATGCACATGTTACTTGTCAAGAGACACTTTGAAAGTAGTGTTGTTGATTGGAGTTTTGTGGACATTTGATTTTAGTTTCCACACATGTCAAAATGGAAAAAAAAAAAGAAAGAGATTACATTATAGTCACAATCAAGAAATCTGTTTTTTTTTAAGTCTAGTTTTATGATCAAATTTTATATGCTTTTATGTTAGGCATCAAAAGAAAAAGCAACATTTATAATGATGTAGTTGAACTTGTGTCATAAGGAAGGATTCTTTGTAGAAACTTGACATGATAATGTATATGGTGATGGGAATTCCATTTTCAAGGAACCTCATGAAATATGTGGGAAATAAATGCTAGTAGAAGACATTTCCCTGAACTTTGCTGATCAAGCAACTTCAATGACCTAAAATATACTTGAGAAAGCAGCATGTAAAAAAAGCCTCTGTGCAATCAAAATAGAATACAAAAGTTTATACTTTACTTGGTTTACATGCTATTAACTTGCATGAAAGTCTGATAGCAAGGTTCCCACCTTACAGCAAAGGAAAAACATCACGTTAGAATGCGTCAGAAGTGAATGACTACAATCTGGCACAATGAGAAGTAGAACTGAGGCAACAACAAAAATTTAATTATTTCAAAGCAGAGTAGTTTTTCAGAGTATAGGAAACCCACTTTTATATCTCACTCTTTTTAAGGGCACCATTCTAGTACAGAGGTCCAGCAACTATTTTTTCATCATAGTAAGTCCGACTTTTTGAAAAGCTTAACTGATATTAAATATATTCTGTTTAAGAGATCAGGAAAATATTTAACAATTTGAGAAAAAAAATTTCTTCTAAGTGGTTAAAATTAAATAAGCTTTGGGGCGCCTGGGTGGCGCAGTCGGTTAAGCGTCCGACACGATCTCGCGGTCTGTGAGTTCGAGCCCCGCGTCGGGCTCTGGGCTGATGGCTCAGAGCCTGGAGCCTGTTTCCGATTCTGTGTCTCCCTCTCCCTCTGCCCCTCCTCCGTTCATGCTCTGTCTCTCTCTGTCCCAAAAATAAATAAACGTTGGAAAAAAAAATGTTTAAAAAAAATAAATAAGCTTTGGTGATTTAGTAGACGAACTTCCATTATGTATAAAATTATTTTTTGTAGATTGCCTCATTTGTAGAAGGTGCTAGATAATAAGTGTTTCCTTATTGACATGCAAATAATTCATTTTATTAAGATTTTTCTTAATTTTTTTACAAAAATAAAAGCTTAGGTGTGACATAAAATCTAATATGGCACTCTAAATCTAATAAACTGTATCAACATTTCAGAGTTATATTCATATCAGCAAATGCTAATAAGCTGGGAAGCACACAAGAACCAAAGGAGTCATCTAATCTACCACCAAGTCCTATTGAATTTTGTTCCAGAATTCCTTTCAGATATATTCACTTCTCTGACTCCACTGCCACCAGCCTTGTCCATGTCACATCATTTCTCCCACCTACGTTTCCTCAATAGGCTTCTTTCTCCCATTTCTCTTGGCTGCCCCCAATCCCTTCTCCATGCAGCCATCAGATCAAATCAGTTCCTTTTCCAGTCTGTTACTGTGACTTTCCATTCTATTTCAAATAAAACTAAAGTCCTTAGCTTCTCCCTTCACCATCCTGAATGATGGACTTTCATCTTACTTCTCCACATCTCACGAAACTCCCCTTTGCTCACTCTGCTCTAGATCCTTTGGCCCTCACTAAGTGTTTTAGCCTTTGTATAGACACTTCCTTATGCCTTTTCTCTATATTCTTGGCAGAGCTGGCTCCTTGTTCCTCAGGTGTCAGTTTGAGTATTGCCCCGTCCAAGAGGCCTTTCTTGATTATGCTACCTAATGCAGGTCTGTCTTTCCTCACCATTATTCTTTATTACAGTACAGTGTGTTTAAGTTCTTTTGTAGTTTGTATCATAATGCATTTTGTTTACTTATTTATTTTGTTTCCCTCACAAGCCCCATGATGGCAAATACCAGTCTGTTTTATTAAACATTGATAATGGCGAATACTTGGCACATAGTAGGTGTGTAATAAATATTTTTTGAAATAATAAATAAGTGAATAGTGGCCTATAAATAAATCAAGAGCTAAATGCTTGGAATTTATAATGGCAGGTGAGTATGCTAATAAACTTTTCTGCATCTTTAAGAAAAATTGAGGTGATTCATAGATGTTCTATCAATATGGATTTTGAGATGAGAAGTTTGTAGAGTTCATAACTAATTTCTCACTGTGATATTATAGATTGCATTGATTCCCTTCTCCAAACATGACTTTTTCATAATACAAGTAGGGTGTTAGAAATGTTTGGCCTGATTCAATCAAGTGTTTCTTCAGAGGAGAATAAAAGGAGTGAGGTTATGGATATGGAGATACAAAGCTGGGAATTATTAATTCTGTATCCCATTTACCCTCAAGCACAATTAAGAGATTACACCTGTCATGAATGTTCTCTATGGAATTTGCAGAGTTTAGCATATACATTACATTCAGTAATGGTTCAATAAACATGAGTTTAATTGAATTTACCTTGTAAAGTTGGAAATGAGATACATTTATCTTTGTTCAGGCTTCTAGATTTACTCCATGGCATCCAATTAATGATAATTTTAATATAGATTATGACAAAAAAGATGTTGGTTTCTTACATTCATAAGTGGTGCATGCTTCTTGAAGCCGGATACCATGACTTAAGTATTTTTCCATTTTCAAGATGGGCCTAGGAATGGAGGTGGTACACAATAAAAACAGAAATAAATTATATTTTTTGAAGGAATGGAAATATTTCAGACCACCTAGGGGATCTAGTTTAAATTACTTTCCTGTACCGAATAGATTGAGAAGCAGATATAATAATATAGGCTTCTAATGCAAATACGCAAAAGTGAACAAACATGCTGAAATAGATCTCTTTACACTTATGTAGAAATATGTGATGATACAGGCAACAATTTTATTATTAAAGGAATGCACAGTAGGTCTTATGTAAAATAAAATAAAAAAGAAACCTTTAGGTGGCGGCCAAGAGCTATGATTATGAATTCCTTAGGCTGCTTTTATGAGAATTTATGATCTTGTTTGAAAGTGGTCATGTTAAACAGACTATTTAAACCACAGTAATTGAGTGCAAAGCAAATACAAGAAACAAAATTAGGTCTTCAAAGAAATGGATCTGAGTGTTAATATCATTAATCAAATCCTGATTTTTATTAAACAATGGGTATTCTGATTATGAATATTCGTTAGGAAGCCAGATCTGGGAAGAGAATTTTATTGGAATTCAGTCATGGGATTAATTACTCTTGGCAGTTAAATAATTATTTTAATTTTGAAACAAATCATCTTTAAAACAAAATGGTAGCATTTTAAGAACTCACAGAGTGTAATAAAGATGTCAAAACTGTCCAGATGCTATTGTGCAATTGGAAACTCCACTCAAAATTGACACAGTGCCCCAGAAAAAAAGGTCAATGATCTAACTCATTCTTGCAACATCTGCCAGAAGCTATGGCTTCTTGGAGTACTGTGTTCTTTTTCTCTTGCATTACTCTCTCAAATGAAAGTTGATGATCAAATCCATCATATACCTCTTTAAATTCTAGGAAAAAAAGGGGGACATAAAAATAATTTTAAAGTGTTATGATTTTTTGATGGTATGCACTAGGTTTTCCTCTCTGTTCTTTTTATCAATATGCTTTAATCTACCAGAGGAAACAAATTTAAGCATCATTATTAGAAATTTCTTGGTAGTAATTTTCACTTAAAGTTATTATTAATGATTCATCTGTTAGCATTTAGATTCATGCTGTACACGTTGACAACACTTTTGGCAAGATAGACTAAATTTGGATATTTGTTTCCAATTAATTAGAACTTATGTGATGACGTATCTCTAGTTCAATTCTTGTCCCCTTAAATAGCACATTTAACATCAATATATGCACACTCAAGATCATGGAGGAGGGAAAACAAGTAAAAGACAAACTTAGAACACATGGAGTTGACAGGTTTCAAGATGCAATAAGAGTACAGAAACAAATTAAAATACTATAGCAAAAACCACACGTTACTGTTGAGCAGTAAAAAAAAAAAGAGAAGGAAAAGTGTGGGTTGATATTAATAAAGAAAAGCTCTATAGAGAAGATAAGTAAATTGGTGATTTCCCAGTGCATTATTGGGAAGGGAATCATTTTAATCCCGAAGAAACTCTATTTCAATTACTGAATGTTCATATTCCAAAACTGTAGTGTAGTAATATAGATGTAACAGTAGCATTGAATTGTTCGTATTCTAAATATTCTCCACTATGTTAGTCAATGGCAAGGTAACATCCCCTCTCAAAAAAACATTTCGTATGTTGTTTGATTACGTAGCAAACTTCATTCCTCTAGCAGTTTACAATGTAAAATTGTCTATGAGTAAAGTTAGGCTAAAAATCTAGAAAGTTGGACCTATGGGATTAATGTGGTAAACATATATTCTCCTTGTCACCATGAATATTCAAAATGATATTCCTGAGGATAGGAATTAGGAGAGCTGGCTCTAACATGATTCTGATGGTATATATGGTGATAAAATTATAGTCAGGATACATCACTTCTCTGGAAACATTTTTCTTCTTTAGAACATGAAAGAGAAAAAGTGGATGGTCTGTACATTTCCTCTTAGCTATAAAATGTTACATTTTTTTTCAGGATTTTTAGAGAGTAAAACCAAATATAATTCAACATTATCGATATAGAAAATTTTGTTCATCTAACAAGTAAAAGCACAGCATAGTTTCAGTGAGAATTGCAAAATGAATCCACTGTATATAGGGCCCCACACGTAGGTCAAGAATGGCCCCCTAACATTGTGCAATGCTCAACATGCATGACTATGGGCTGGTGCTATAATTATATCAATAGTGAAGAAAAGAAGATGTTGGAAAATTCCTCTGTATTAAATTTTTATATAATTTTTAATTTCGAGTTTGCGAAAGCATAAATAAAGAATCTGCCACTATGCTAATGGATTTAGTTATATATGTATATCTCATATAATTTATGTAACTATATGGTCATGAATAATTCAGATATTAAGATATATATCTCCTTAGTTTAAAGCAATGCGTTTAAACCTGAATGGACCATTTATCTTTACATGCAATACACTATTGCATACTTTTGGAAATTAGGTGAAAGTCTATAAAAGAAAGATGAACATCCAATTCCCAAAACAAACAAAAAAACAACTCAAACTGTATGCTCATTTGATGATAGGGAAGCAGAAGAAATCTCTATACTCAGGAAATTTTTATTATTTTATCTGCCATATGGAATAAACAGTATAAAATGATGGAAGTGCCCAAGTGCATTTACCCCAATATCATATGAAAATAAGTAGGTGAAAAACCTTTGGTTCTTGTTTCTTATAACTGTTGCCGTAAAAACTATAATTAATCCTGAGCCACGTCTTTTTTCTGCTCCTTGTCAGTCGACCACATAATGTACAAAAGTTATTTTATCTTGAGTGGCAACAATTCAGCATGCTGGACTAGCTGATTTCAGAGTCCTGCTCTTTCCTACTTGATTCAAGTGAATGCCTGATCTAGACAAATCTAGTAGATGACAAATCTCATTGATTCTATTCACTGTGAACTTACAGAGGGGACAAAGAGAAAAAACAAAAGCAGTCTATTGTTTAAGATGTTAATTTCTAAGGATTGTCTTCTAACTTTTATTATATGAAAGAAATATTTTAATTGTTTCAGTTGTAATATTTTGCACAAAGTCCGTGGGACTGGGATTCAAGTAATCAGGAAAAAAAAAAAATACGTGGAAGGGGAGAAAAAAAATCACCAGGGTACAATCCCTACAAATTTTAAAAGAGCAATTTGTGCAAACTTCTAGAAGAGGGAGTACAAAGAGTAAGAAAAGGTGTCAAGAATGAAAAGTAAACTAAAAGCAGGAGAGAAGACTGCAAATAAGGATAATACCCCCCCCCCCAAAAAAAGTTAAAGATTGAAGAGGGCAAGGTATAAGAAACAAGAGTGAAGCCAGAAAAAGTGATGACATTGTAGGGTAGAAATAGCAGAACAGAGGGGAAAAGGAGGTCAAGGCTTAAAGATTAAAAAAAAAAAAAGCACAAAGGGGGAACAGCAAAGACATGTGGGATAGAACTGGAAAGGGAGCAGTGTCTGGATTATAAGTGGGAGGGAAAGTAGGCAGGCAGGAGACAGGGAGGTGACACAGCAAAGAGCCACTGGAGCCAAGTGATTTTGCTTTGTCTTTTACAAGTAAAGTTTATGCCACTTGAATGGAGCTTGCAAATGGGTGTGAATTATTTTACTAGTATCATCCAAAGTCCTGCTGTAATGGTGTTAGGAATTTGGCATAGTAGTAGCAGCCTAACTAAGGCTACCAACTTCCCTTCATATTCAATCAAAGCAGCCAAATTCCCACCCATTTGTAGTCTGCGGGCTCTATTGAAATGACATATACAGACAAATAGATACACTAGGAAAGTTACGGACATTAAAGAAAAAAACAAAAAGAATTTGTTTTTATTAAAAAGTAACCTTGTAATCATTTGCTCAGAATGTCATTGCCTTAGTGTATAGTTGTTTTGTTTTGTTTTATTTTGTTTTGTTTTGTTTTGTTTCAATCAGGTTGGTTTAAATTTAGGGAGTTTCATGAAAATTCAAAAATTCTTGAAATATGTAAATGCAAATTGCTACTGTGAGAACCAACTAAAATAAAACAAATCATCAAATCACCATTAAAAAGGCTCTTTGTCTAAGTAGTGAGTTTTAAAAATTGCTTTTGGGGAAAAAACAATCAGTTTAAAGTTGCTATTAAGCCATACATACAATGGAATACTACTTGGCAATGAGAAAGAATGAAATCCAGCCATTTGCAATAAAATGGATGGAACTGGAGGGTATTATGCCAAGTGAAGTAAGTCAGTCAGAGAAAGACAGGTATTATATGTTTTCACTCATATGTGGAACTTGAGAAACTTAACAGAAGACCATGGGGGAAGGGAAGGGGAAAAATAGTTTCAAACAGAGAAGGAGACAAACCTATGAAAGACTCAAATACAGAGAACAAACTGAAGGTTGATGGAGGGGGTGGAGGTGAGGAGAAAAATGGGTGATGGGCCTTGAGGGCATTTGTTGGGATGAGCTCTAAGTGTTGTATGTAAGTGATGAATCACGGGACACTACCCCTGAAACCAAGAGCACAATGTATGCGATGTATGTTAGCTAACTTGACAATAAATTATATTAAAAAAAGAAGTTGCTGTTAAGGACACCAAAATGATTTGTTACTTGGCAGGTCAAAAAAAATCAGAAGTATTTTCTTAGTTTTGAGCTGGAATTTGAAACCTGGATATATTTTCTGCTTTTCCATCTTTTTGTTTTGTTCTGGAATAACCTCTGAGCAAACTATCCACTGAGTGAGGTTTTATATCTTCAACTCTGTTAAGGTGTTCACTTTTGTTTCTCCATGGGAACAAACATGTTGCCATGGAAACTGGGTAGCACAAAATGTAGCTAGTACGGAAACCTTTATGCAAAGAATCAAGCTCAAACACAAAGTTAACTACTTAATGCAGGTACTAGTTGGGCTCTCCAACACCTAACATTAACAGCATCTCGAAAAGAATAACTTGATCCCGTGTTTTATCAGATTTTGGAATATAAGGAAACTATACTCTTCTCTCATTAGGAAAATGTAAAGGTTTATTTTTCATTAAAAAAAAAATTAGAAACCACCAAAAAGAATGATTGTGGTGGTTATTTGCATTGAATAAAAAAGATGCCTTCAAGATATCCTTTATATAATAAGTACTTTTTACACACTGACATTGTCTTATTCCATGTAATACACCTACTATGAGATGTTCTGGGCCTCAGGTTAAGAAAAAAGAAGGAAGCAAGAAAAACAGAGCTGGGACCAAGGTTCTAAAGTAAGTGAGTGACCAGCATTTCCAGTCACATTATGGAGAGTAAGGGGTGCGAGCTCCTGAGCCAGGAATGATTTACAAGGAGTTGGAATCAAGTTAGGGGAGGATAAGGCAAAAGGCATTTCTGGCAGTGCTAGTGTTTTCACTCCAGATAAGGGAAGGAAAGAGCTCATTCAGTTAGAAGCAAAGCTCCAACCAGTTCTAGGAACAGGGTGAGAGGTGTCAGCCCAGATTTTAGTGAGGGGGCAGAGCCCCTGTTAAACCAGTGGTAGTTTAGCTTAGGATATCAGTTACAACCCAGGAGTGGAGGATGTCTTTAAGGACAGACATCCAGCAGTGAAGATTGGGCAACAGAATTGTTGGACGGGAGAGGGGCTGCAGTTGACTGCGTGTATGAATGCATAGGACACTTCGTTCTGGATTCTGGACCCAGGAATGTGCAGTTAATTTCAGGTTCCATTTAATGATTGTGGATGGAGCTCTTAATATATTGCCTGGTTACATTAGGATTGACTCTGAGGCTGGGTGGGGGGTTGACTGAATGGTTTTAGGCTACTGGATGATGCTGCTACAGGTAGCAACTGGAAACAAAAAAAGAGACTTGATATGCCCCAAATCAACCCAC